GAAGGGGGTAAAAATACACAGTGTCTCACCAAAGCCACCCTGGGAGCCCCCAGCCTCATTCCCAGTGATTCCCAAACTCTCAGGAGCCACGCCGAGTCCCCAGACAGCAGCAATGGGTGAACCCAGCGAGCCCATGGCCACTCCAGTGTCCCCCGGCCACAATTTCACCCTCTCTCCCCAGCCATAGAGCTGTGTTGACACCCAATGGCCAAAGACCATCCCAGAGGGTGACATAGACCTACAAGAAGCCACCCAGCAGCAACCCGGGGCGTTGGGTGCTGCTGCCTTTGCCGCTGCCCAACAGCCAGGCTGCCGCCGGCCAAGCCCCCCACTCAAGAAACTCCAGCGGGGTCGTGCCCAAGCTCCCTGCTGGCTCCAGTGCTCTGGATCCCATCACTAAAGGAGCTTTTCCATTGCTAGAGGAGCATTTCCATGGCTGAAGGAATGTTTTCATCACTAAAGGAGATTTTTTCCCCGGTCGTTGCTCACCTCCACCCGCTGCACTTGGGAGTAGATGGTGTGCACCGCATTGTCCTCGGCAAGCGGCGAATGCTCCTGCTCCCGGCTGGCTGTGGGGGGATAAGGAAGTCACCAAGCTGCGAGGGGAGCAGGGACCAACCCTGGCACTTTGCGAGCTGCATCCTGCTCCCACATCCCAAGGCACGGCGAGGGTGAGCCCGCGCTGGCTCTGTCCCCAGCACCGTGTCTGCTGGCAGGACCCGGCCGTGGCCGGAGGATTTCTGGGCACCACAGGACAGTTTTGCAAATTTGTCACTGCACAGGGAACGGGGAGGGGTGCACAGCCCGGCTGAAGCACTCAGATCAGTCAGTTCCCCTTGAGACAGTGAGATACGATCTCAGAAGCACATCATCTGGGTGAAGTGGGGGAGATAATGTGCAGGTACGTTTCCTTTTTTTTTTTTTTTTTTCTCCTTTTTTTTTTTTTTTTTTTTTTAAGCTGGTTTCCTTCCTGCCTTTTCCTCTGTGCTTCAAGAGCAACACGTTTCACTCCTTCCCAAGAGTCAGACTACTCCACAAATGAGGTGCCCACAGGGATCAACCCACTTGGTCCATTCCCTGGGGCCAGCTCCTGTTCCCCCCTGCGAGGCTCATCCCACCCGTGGGCCACCAGCCACCCCGGCACCCCTCCCCTCATGGCACTCACCACCAGGCATGACTAAATAGGCAACCACAAATGCGCCGGTGAACATCATCACCGTGGCGATGGGGACCACCACCGCCAGCACGAGATGCTCCGTCGTCATCTCAGCGCTGCCTGGGATGGGGGACAGAGAGGAGAGAGGGGTCAGCTGCCAACCCTGGGGCTCAGGGAAACCCAGAGCTGAGCAGAACGGGCTGCTAAAAAGTCCTCCATGACTAAATAGGCAACCACAAATGCGCCGGTGAACATCATCACCGTGGCGATGGGGACCACCACCGCCAGCACGAGATGCTCCGTCGTCATCTCAGCGCTGCCTGGGATGGGGGACAGAGAGGAGAGAGGGGTCAGCTGCCAACCCTGGGGCTCAGGGAAACCCAGAGCTGAGCAGAACGGGCTGCTAAAAAGTCCTCCTTCATCTCATCGCCTAATTTTGGGTTGGCGATGTCGGTAGAACAGGAAACAAGGGGCAGGAAATGCTTTTCTTGAGCAGAGCTCTCTCTCTAATCCTTCAACAGTCAGCAAAACAACCTGCCGGGGGCCAGATCGGAGGCAGATAAATACCTAAAAGCATCTCCGCTGGCTTTACGGAGGTCTGCGGGGTGGCAGCCCCTTTGTACAACGCCCTTGCGTCGCAGGTGCAAGAGAAGGGGACCCTGGGACAGAGCTCTGCAGCTCCAGCCACCAGTCCAGCTCCTGGTGTGGCCCCACTCAAGGGCCACTAGCGGTGACACCGTGCAGGGGTGTCCCACTGTGCGAGGGGTTTTGGGACAAGGGGATGACGAACAAGCCTGAAACCCCCAGGACATCTCATTTCAGCATCTCTCTTTCCTAAGCAAGAGTCCCGACCGTTTTTCCCATGGGGATATTTTCTCAGCACAAGTCACCCCAAGAGCCCCAGCATGGGTCAACGCAGCAGAGGTGTGACTCCACCTGAGGGTCCCTGGAGAAAGGGGCAGCCACCATGCCACCCGGCCCCGGCGAAAGTCCCCCCACGTCACAAGGGAGTGCTAGAAAACCCCGGTGAGAGAGAGCGTGACTTTCACCCTGCGAGCTTCTCAAGAGGAAGTTGTCACCGAGGTTTTTACCCTCCCCGGACCACCCAGGCGTACGAGTCTCATGTGTTTAAAAATGAGCCTTGAGCAGCGGGGCGCAGCGAGGAGGCAAGTGGGACCTGCGGCTCCTCTGCCAGCGTTTACGGGAAGGACTGGGCAACCCAGGGCCACTTTCCCTGCAAAAGGTTCCTTTGAGGTTGGAAAAAGTCCCCAGCAAGGCAAGAGCAGGACCAGGAGGCTGGAGGGAGCCGGGTCAGGACTCGAGGACTTACCCCCTTGCTCGTAGCTGCACTGGGAGGAGTTGAAGTCAACAACCCAACTGCTGATGGGGTTGCTGGCCGTGCAGGCGCAGGCGATGCTGGCATTCTGCAGGGGGTAGGAGAGGTGCAGGAGGCTGCTGTTGCGGGTGCAGAGCCCCGAGGTGCTGGCATCCCGGCTGCCCCAGCTGTAGGAGACGTTGTCCCCTCGCGCCGCCGTGCAGTTGAGGGTGACGGTGCAGCTCCCGTTGGTCTGTGCCCAGCTGAGGATCTGGATGCTCAGATCAGACACCGGCTCTGGAGGGAGGGAAGGAGGGATGGGGCGAAGGTTTGTGTCTAGGGAAGGATGCAAACAGTGCCTGGGAAATCCTGCTGGCCTCTCCTATATCCCCGGGAGATGGGCCTGGACCCGCTGCAAATGACATTAGAGGGGAACGTGGTCTGCATGCAGCCAAAGGCTCCTGTGAGATGGGGCTGAAAGAAGGTCCTGCAGCACCTTGGAGTCAGGGTAGGCATCTCCCACCCTCCCTGACCACAACCCACCTCCCAGACCCACTCCCAGCCCCACAAGAGGCTGGGAGCATCCAGCACAGTCCTCCCAAAGCAACGTGTCTCACCGTACACCTCCAGCTGGATCTGCCAGACTTTCTCCTCCGACCCCTTGCTGACGATGTACTCGTAGAGCTGCCTGTCCTGCCGGCTGGTGTTGAGGATCTCCAGGGAAAAGTCAGACGCGTGGAAGCGGGTCCGTCCTTCCATGTAGTTGGTGTAGTTGCTGTCTGAGTACTTGAGCAGGACCAGCTTACGCAGCGGGTCCTCGGTGTCCCGCTTCCACATGGCCGCCCCGAAGTGCACGGTGAGGTCCCGGAGCTCAGGGGGGATCCGCAAGATTGTCGCCTTCCCCAAGGTGCCCAGCACCGTTTCCCTCACCCTGTGGCCCATGCCTGGGAGGAGAATGGAGAGAAGGGTTGAGCAAGCAGGGAGGCCTGGGGGGGCTCAGAGCAACCGTCCCCTTCCATCCCAGCTGTGCTGGAGGAGGATGGATGTGCACGGAGCTGCGGTAGCGAACGACGGCCTTGGACCCACCCTGGTAATCTGCAGATTGGGGCCAGCTTGGGTTGCAGGAGATAAAATCAGTCCAAAACTGAACAGATTATATAACCACGTTTTCAAGCCCTGGGTTATCCACCACATCCTGCACCAGTGATCGTTGGAGGGTGGGAACGTGGGTCGCACGATACATCAGGGCTCATCGCAAGATCTGCCCCATGGGACCATCCCTGGAGAGGTGGGAGCAACCCCTGTCCCTCAGCCCCACATCCTTGACCCTGAAGAATGTTCAGGGGCCAAGAGTTGCCTTCCTCCACCCTTCCTGCCCACCCTCATCTTCCCAGAGAGAGGTGAGAGAGTCTTCACTTGCATCAGTGTCATCGTTCTCCCACGTTGGGCAATGGCTAAATCCTGATTTAAGGCTCCAGGTTTTCTGATGATGTGGTGAAACATCACCCCATGGAGCAGGGCTGCCTCAAGCAAAGGAAAGCACTTGTGATCCCAGTCTGGTGGGGATGCTGGTCCTGGGAGAAGGGTGCTGGCAGCTGTGGGACCACCCTGGAGAAGTCCTGGTGACACTAGGGCAGTCTGGACAGAAGCAATTCTTGGTAGCCATTGGCCAATGCCTGCAGCTGGGTGCACATCACGGCACCCACCTCCCTCCAGAAACCTTTGGTGGGGCTTTTCTTGTAGATGTTGCAGGAAATGCAGCCTCAGGTGTAAATCCCAGGTTGTCCTTCTCCTGGACAAGGTGGTCCCAGAAGCATTTCTTGATGACCACAGAAAAGTGCTCTTAAGAGGTGTGGAAGCATCTCCAGCGATGGTGGGACAAAAATTCAGGCCACCCACGTGTCCCAAAGCACCTCGACCACCCGGGTTTCCTGGAGAGCACACGAGAGGAGGTTCTCCCCCAAACTCTTTCCTGTCTTTGGCTGCAAGCCGATGATTCATATTTGCCCACACCCCCGGGCAAACGATTTTGTTTTTGTAGGAAACAGCACGGGGAGAGGTGACAGCTCACCCCTGAGCCAGCCCCCGGCAGAGGGAGCGTGGAAGGGACCCCACTGTGTCACCCCCACATTTCCTACTGACTTCTTTCCATTGGGGTGAGGCTTTACCCCAGAGGGGAAAAGAAAAGAGAGGAGGGGGGACTACCCCAGAACAGGTCTGGGGAGGCCCAGATAAGCCCAGTATCCGCCTCTCCTGCGGCGGATGTTTCCAGTAAAAACCACAGAGCAAACATGCTCCCCTGACGCCATCCCAAGTGCCATCGCTTATTTTTCCCCCCCTCCACGGTACAAAACACAGAAGTTTCTGAGCCGTTCCTGGGGACTACATCTCCCCAGCGTCAAACCAGCCTTAGTGACACAGTTGTCACGGCTGACCTGGTGGCTCTTTTTTTTTTTTTTTTTTTTTTTTTTGCCAGTAGATTTACTGTAAAGCCCAGCGGGCAGGGAGATGCTGTATTTTCTCAGCAACGAGTCTTCTTGACGTGCAGCGGTTAGGCTCCTCGTTAATTAACCAAATGGAAAAGCCCTTTTTACATCACGTTAGAAAAACCCTCTACCCCAGCGAGAAGCATCATCTTTGCAGGGGAAAATGACTTGGCTGGAGCAAGGCTGCTGGAGGAGGAACGTAAAGAAGTTTGAAACCATCCCTGTTGAAGCCCAGATGGGCTGGAGGAAAGCAAAGTGATCCGTGGCAGCACGGCGCTGGGTCCAGAGTGACCTTTGCATCAGGTATTGGGCTCGTGGGACTTTTGGCGTGCTGGCTGGACAGAAAATCCCAGGGGGATTTTAAAGGCAGGTATTCTAGTAAGAGCGAGCCAGTGGAGCTGAGGAGAATCACAGAGTCCCAGAATGGTTTGGGTTGGAAGGGACCTTAAAGCCCATCCAGTGCCACCCCCTGCCATGGGCAGGGCCACCTCCCACCAGCCCAGGTTGCCCAAAGCCTCATCCAGCCTGGCCTTGAACCCCTCCAGGGATGGGGCATCCACAGCTTCTCTGGGCACCCTGGGCCACTGCCTCACCCCCCGCACAGGAAAACATTTCTTCCCGAGATCTCATCTAAATCTGCCCTCTTTCAGCTTATAAACCAGAAGAAAAAAGTAAAAAAAAAAAAAACAAAAAAACCAAAAAAAACCCAGCTCTGCTAAGGTCCTTGGTTTCCTGGCCGAGAACATTTTGCGCTTGGCGATTACGCGAAGGCTGAAGGGGCTGCAGGGACACATGGTGTCCCCAGGGCAGGGGACCAGATGTTGGGCTGGCATCAAGTAGAAGGTCAGGATTAGTCCCAGCTCCCTGTGCTCTGCTGGGGGATCTGGGCTCACCTGAGCTCTTTCACACAGGCTCAGCACCACCAAAACCAGTTTCTCTATATCCTCCCATAACGGCCGACAGGCTGGGAGGACAGGACCCAGCAGCCCAGGGGGGTTTGCGTGGTCCTTGCTCCCCAACCAGCTCATCTCAGGGTGGATTTTGGCTCAACCAGGACACCATCATCTCCAGAACACCACCCAGAGCCAGCCAGGGCTCTCTGAGCAGCGAGAAAACAGGCATCGCCCCACTGCCTGGCCCTTTCCACTCGCCCTATACACTTTTTCTTGCTTGGGTCCCATCTCCCAGCCTGCTGGCACCTCTTGATCTGAGATGATCTCACAGAGAACAAGACAATCCACCGAGAACCTCCATCTCAAGTGCCCCAGTTCACATCTGGTACTAAATTATTTTCTCAGTGCTATTAATACCCCATTAGAACACCCGGTAGAGCGCTTCACTATCGCAGCTACACTTTGTCCATTGCCGTCTTTGTTCATTCATCATATTTCGTTCTCTTCTCCCTCACCACGACTGGCAGGAGCATATTAAGGATGCACCACGCACCCAACTGGGAGTTGCCAGCTATTTATCTTCTAGATGAATATTTATACTCGATCTGCCCGTCTGCCTGGCACGCAGCTCGCGACTTCTAAAGGTCTTCATTTCTGACGACAACAACAACAACAAAATAAAACCCCAAACAATCCAAAGCGAGTATTTCACGGAGAGGAAAACATACGTACCCCAAACACAGCCGAGAGAGATGAGCAGCCAGAGGTGGACGCTGCAGCCCATGCCTCGGTTCACGGAGCTGCTGTGGCAGTGAAATTAATATCTGCTGCCGGGCTCATTATAAGAGCAGGTGTACTCAAATTAGAGACGCTATCCTGGGCCATGTGTTTCCTGTTTTTGGCTGAATGACTTTTTTTTTTTTTTTCTTCTCTCGAGTGGAAAGTATTCAAAGCATCAAGTCATGCTGCTGAATGCTTCACCGGAGACAGCCCAAGAGAGCTGCAAGAAGGAAGCAGAGCATCAATTTATAGCTTGCACCAGAACCGCATCATCCTGCTACGGGTCCTTAACCCGACCCTAAAAGAGGAGGAAACTACCAGCAAGAAAAATCATTTCACGTACCATAACAATTTCCCGGGTCTGTACAGAGCATTTAAACCCTGCTACCGCAGCGGAGGCGGAGGTAGGCGGCTGCTCCCCCCATGCGGCAGCATCCCAACTGCAGCTGCTCCATCCCAGCACCGATGCTCGTCCAGAGAGCCGGCATGCACCAGTGCCTCTGGCCACGGTTCCCACCACTGCAGGAAAGCCTCAGGTATTTGGCCTCAAGTTGTTCCAGGGGAGGTTTAGGCTGAATATTAGTAAAAAATTCTGCACTGCAAGAGTGATCAGGCATTGGAACAGGCTGCCCAGGGAAGTGGTGGGGTCACCATCCCTGGAGGGGTGTTCTGGGACATGGTTTGGTGGGTTGGGTGGTGTTGGGTTGATGGTTGGACTTGATGATCCTTGAGGTCTTTTCCAACCTTAATGACTCTATGATTCTATATTCCAGGATTAACCCATATTCCTGCTTTGGGCTTGGACTGTGTGGGATCTACAGCGAGGAGGAGGACGGGTGGTCTTCAGAAACTCCCCAAGTAAAAGCCCTAATCTGCGTTCTCAGGTTGAGAACTCATGGTAATGATCTGGACTTCAATTTGCTCCTGTTTGACCCCATCCCCATCTGCCCAGGTGGTGTTCAGGGATGGGGACAGTCCTGCCCAGTGGGAAGGGAATGGGGACCACAGCTTCTTGCGCTCAGCGGAGAGCCGGGGATGGGGAACGCGGGGAAAACATCACTCGATTGTTCCACTGCTGGAAAGGGATGAGAAAAGCTTAGCAGTTGTTTTTGTGGTTTTAGTGGAATGAATTATTCACCCCTGCTGATGCTCGGCCCACGCAGCTTTAAAATGGGAGAAGGGTTTTCTCCTAGTGCTTCCTTCAATTTTTTGTCAGTTTTCAGAGGAAACCAGAAGAGACAGCGTGAAGCAGGAATTCCTCTGCTGTTTTAAACCAAATTTGATTGCCCCAAGGAAATAAAGGGTGAACTTACATCCCGCTGCTTTTCAGTAGAGCCAGGCTCCAAGAGCTCCAGGAGTTTTGTTGCTGATAAATTATTTCTAACGCTAAAAAAGCCTAAAACCACACTAAACTACCCCAGCATCCTGCTGGGCTGCTCCTTCCTTCTCGGAAAGCATCTGGCTGAGAAAAAAAAAAAAAAAAGGCCATTTCCCAATAATCAGCAGTTCACAAAAGGGAAGAGCTCAGCAGAGGCGTGAAAAAGAAAGGATGAGTAAGAGCGGTATGAGAGAACTTGGCTCCTTCTCTCAATTCACGTACAGAGCTTTGAGTCCCCAGAAAAGCAGCGCTGGTTCCTACCGGAGTCAGGTGGCTCCTGGTCCAAGCACTTGGCCAGATGATGGAGGGATGAAGACCATCGCCTTGGGGTGTTTTGCAGAGGGGTGTCGTGGTTTGACCCAGCTAGCAGAAACACCACGCAGCCGCTCGCTCACCCACTCTGCTCCCAGTGATGGGGGAGAGAATTGAAGGGGTAAAGAGAAGAGAAACTCATCCCCAATTGTCCCCAACTCTCCACCTTGCCACAGGTGGGTGCCCAATGCTTGATTGCCACAAACTGGTCCAGGACAGCCATGAAACCCCAACAATGTCCATGGGCACTACCACAATAGCGTGCCTCGGGCTGGAGAAATGTGAAAAAAATTACTTAACAAGCAAAACAATCATGAAAAAAAAAATCCTTCCCAGAAGCACCTAGGGGCACAAAAACCATAGAAGAGCTCAGAGAAAAACCTCCTTTAACCCAAAATAATGATCCCAAATGCCTTTACTTTCCCCATCAGCTCAAGTTGAAGTCTCCCAACTGGAAAAATGAGGCAGCACCGGGCTCCATCACAGGAGGTTTTATGATCCAGCCATCATCCTGGATTTTGTCAGAGGCAGAAGAGCCCCAAACCTCTGTATGGGAGTGGAGCAAGTCCCAGTCAAAGGAGGGATTTCTGCAAACCATACATTGGTGCAAAAAAACCATTAGCCACTCAGCAAAAAATGAGCCGCACATTAGACCCAGGAGCTGGAACAATTTGTGCTCGTTACTGATTTTCCAATGAGCTGGTGAGGTCCCAGTTGACCTTTTGGTGAATCTGGCCTTAGGAGGCTTTGCTTAAAGGTGGTTCTAAAAAGTGATGCCTCTTGGGTTTTACGGAGGAGAGAGCCCGATTCTCCCCTTTCTCAGGATGGTTTGCTGTAGGGGGCAGGAGCAGCAGTGTCCCATGGCTGAAGTGGCCCCAAAACATGACCTTGGTCCTCCTTCCAGGCTGAGTGACCATCTTCATCACTCATGAGACATCTTCCCACCCCAACAGACCCATGTACCCCATCCAAAGCTGACTTCTCCCATGGGGTACAGCAGTGGAAGGGCTCCTGTCCTGGGGAGGGGGAATGTGGCTCCCCCCATCATCCCCCTGTCCCCAAGCACCCACCACAGCCATCCCCAGCCCAGAGAAGAACACAGAACGGGCACCTAAAAATGAAGGGTTTAAGGTAAAAATTAATTAATTTAATGCACATATAGACAGACTGTACTTGCCCTGCCCAACCCTCCCTTGCAGAGAAAGATGAAGGAGCCACCTTAGCTCTGCCCCCTTGACATGCTCTGGTGCTCCAGACCTGGAGGAGGTTGGGCATCACCCAGATGCACCCTCGCTGGTGTCACCAGCTTCAGGCTAAGAACTGCACCATCCAGCACTGTAGCACCACTCGTTGGTCCCACGAAGGGGATCACTGACATGAGGTGATGGCCAAGGACCTCTCAAAGTTCATGGGAAGACCCAGGAAAGGCTCAGCTTGGGTCTCCCTGCAGATTTCAGGGCTAGGAAGAGGAGGATTTCCGAGCAGTTAACCATAAATTTAGTGATTTAGATCCATGGTTCTCGAAACACCGTTGTGACAGACCTGGGAATGTGATCGCTGACTAAAGCAAAGCAGAAAAGGTGAGGAGGGAAACCGAGGCATGGAGCTATTCCAAAGGCAGTGGCAAAGCCGCCACAGCCGGGTGGCTGTGGATGAGACCAGTGGGTGCTGGTGTAACGGACACTGGTTGTAATGGTTCCCCTCGAGCAACCGCATCTTCCTGCATCCAGCTGGTTTGGGGGCCTCATCCAGGCACCAGTCCCAGGGCGGGGAGTGATGAGACATGGAGACACATCAACTGTGGAGTATTGTTAAGCCAGATTGAGGAGGAAGAGGAGGAGGAGGAGGAGTTGTCCCAGGTGCACCAGCACACGGGTGGTGGTGCAGGACGCAGCAGCGGAGGACTCTCCTGGAGGCAGAGGCAGAGCAGGGGTGTGGGAAGGGTTGTGGGCTGCTGTGGGGGACCCCCAAGCCCCCTCCCCAAGTGGGCTCCTGCCACCCACCAGCCCATGGCACAGAGGGAAAAGGGACCCACCACTCCCAACCCACAGGACACCCATGGGCCACCTTCAGCCTTGCAGGGACCCACGGTCCCCAGGGTCACCACTGCTGCTCCAGGGACCCTCCAAAGCCATCCCACCCAAGTTTTGCCATCTCATGTGTGCATCGTGGCCAGTACCTGTCCAGGAGCAAGGGTGCCAGTAGGTCAGCGAGGCGTTGTTGGATGAAACGGGGTTGCTGACTTTGCAGATGTAGATTTCTGTCAAGGGGTCGAAGGAGACATTCTGCTTGGAGGAACCCGCACCCTCTGGCAGGAGCTTGCTGGGGGTGATCCACTCGTAGGTCACCCCTTCGAGCCCCACCGAGCACTCCAGGGTAGCTTTGCACCTCCCCGAGTCGTCCCTCATCACTTTGGCGTGCACGGTGGGCTTCGGGACCAGATCTGCAAGGGACAGCGGGATGTCACAGCCTTCCTGTTCCCCTCCACAGAGGACTGGGACCACCCTCCCATCCTCCCAGCTCACCGTACACTGTCAGGAGGATGTTTTCGATGTGCTCCTTGCCTGCCTGGTCCTCCAGGTACACCTGGTACACACTGCTGTCATTTTTCTGCAGGTAGCTGATTTTTAGGGTGTTGTTGGGAAAGAGCTCCAAGCGTCCCTTGTAGATGTTGTTGGGGTACCGGACAGTTTCCTTGCTGTCCCAGATGGCAATCTTTACAGAATTGTCGCGCCGCCAATGGATTTGGTGGTAGGACATCCGGTTTCCCAGGCTAGGGCTGAGATACGCCACCCCACCAACAACCCCGACCACCTCCGACGGACCGTGTTGCGCGTGGGCTGCCAAGAAAACAGAGACTGGTGCTGCTCGGCCAGTCGAACACAGCCCACCCCTCCCCGAGGCTCATCCCCACTTGGGGACCTCAATTCCTCCCAGACACATGGAAAATACAAACAACCCATTTGCTCACTAATTCCTGACACCTTTGGGCTCTCTCAGCCCTAGGGCTGTGTCGCAGGGACAAACCCTACAGCTGGTGGCAGAATTTCTGCTTCCCCACCCCAAGCATGGGACAGCCCGAATGCCCCTAAGCAAGGTTTTATTTTTTTCCTTCGCTTTCATTTTTGGGGTCCTACCCTCCCTCCAGGCTCACCGGGAGCAGCCCCCCACCCCAAGCTTGGTGGTGGCGATGCCGGGGGCTCCCCTGGGGAATGAAGCTGGTGGGTCCCACCGTGGGCACAGCATCATCATGGGAAAAGCTGGGGGAGAGAGCGGGGATGGGGAGGGTTTATCCCATCCCCAAAGCCATCTACCCACCAACCCAGCACCCCCAGCCTGGGGAAACCCGCTGCCGTACCTTGCATGATGAAGAAGAGG